TAAAATACTCTTTTTAAAAGAATATCAACAGCAATTAAAAAGGAGACAATCTACATGTTCTTTGCTTAAACCTACATAGATTTAAATATTCTAGAAAGAATATTATATAAATAAGAAGATGTGGTATGAGTGACAATGAGACAACTATCCATCCAAGTCAAAAGTATAAATAAACATACGACCTTCAACACGGAGCCTTGTTATAGCGGGGTTTTTTTTAGCGTTACGGATGCGTCTTTTGAAAACGAAGCGCTTGTTTGGCGTACAAAAATTAAGTCCTGGTATCTATGATGAGTTATTTGATTGTAAAGAAAACTTAGATGTAAAGTAGATTGCAATAATAATTGTTTACATAACAATTAACAAATGTCTATACAAATTATCATTTACCTCGTACAATTCCATTCCTACAACAGGATATTCAATGTGTATGTTACGTTTCAAAACCGTGATAATTGGGGTTGGGTTTTTTTTTTTGTATAATATTAACATCTTGCAAACTGACCTTATTGTAATTGTTGCTACACCATATATTAAGTGTATTCAAGTGTAAGCATTAAAATAGAATTTAGAAAAAAAAACATGATTTTTTTTCCATTGTTTTCCATAAAATTGTTTGCGCTTTAGCCTTATCACTGGTGGGAAGGTTTATTATCAGAAAATATAGAAAAAAAAAGAGGCAGACGATACACAGGGCCATTAATTATATCATAAGTCGAAGATAATCTAAACCGACATGGCAAGAATAGAGAAGATATACAACAAAATTAAAAAACAAATCTAACAAATTTAAACAGATATGTAGCAGACCATAACTATCAATTCTGTTAGTTTATCATTTTGCAATAGCATTCAATTCCTTAAACTTTTCCCATTAAGACGAAAAAGGTAAAATTATTCCAACTATGTGTGTGTGCATTTGTGAACATATGTGTGTACATTTTGACGATGTATATACAAAGACTTTAATTATTTGCTATTATCAGAATGATTCTATATATCGCTAAATTATCAAATAGAAGTTATACATCAATGAAGGTTCGGAGTAGATACCATCTCGCCATGAGTTGAGTTCGAACTCACAATCTCAATGTGGAAAGACTAGTAAATGCAAACTCCCCGGCAGTTCCAGCTCCGATCGGCATACTAGTCTACACTAATATTGAGTAAAGGAAACGATCACTGTACGGAGTTTGTAGTAATTGATCACTGCAGATAATGTAGACAACTCGATTACCGAAGCCTCCTGAATCAAATTTCCGGAAAATTATAACGATCCTAGGACTTGTTTTTGCTTACAAAACTTTCATACGTTCATAAACATAATTTTTAAAGCAGGCAAAAAAGTCACATTGTAAAAACCTTTGTACAAATATACATTACATATAGTAGAGTGAAACTATAATGATGTATTCTGAAAAAAAGGGAATGCGTACAATATACTTGAAAAGAAAGGATTTGAGGTATCCATTCATGACACAAAAATCAATACATGCACAGCAAAAAACAGGAAAAGCAAGGGAACAGCGCATTTATTATTGTTCTGCATCTCAAAGGCACAGTAAGGCCTACAACATGGTGCAAAAGTTTTCCCCTCACTGCAATTTTAAGACGGCCAACTAGGACCGGTTTGAGCGGAATTCTGTGCAAACTGAAAAACCTTTAATAACATAAACAGTCATTTTAAATTAACGTTTTAAAGGGGCATTAGCTGTCAAATTCGTGTTCACCAATTTGGCTGAAATTCTCATATTTGATTAATAACAAACTAAAACGTATATCCAAATTATAAACAAGTCTAAAATTAACAATTGACGATGCATTGATTCGATAATATGTATCATCATTTCGTGTGTATTTTAGTCTAGACGCCATATAATTAACCATCGAAGTGACCTCCGAAGACTGCCGACGTTCACATAACCAAATATAGACATAAATTGATAGCCAACACGGCCAATTGGATTTTTCTAGGTCTGTTTGATTTCATATTTTAGGTTAAAAAAATATGTTAATCATCGATTTTACCTGTATAAGAATGAGTTTTTGTGGATTGAATCAGTCAACCAAATGGTTTACCTTATTTCACATTCAATGTTGACATTATTTTCCTTTTAATAGCTGAACACGCCTAGTTTATGCGTAACCCATCTCTAGTTAAAGGGCTAATTGAAGGTCACATGAATACGGATTCAATGAGGTCGAATTATTCACTTGCAAGCGAATAATTCATCAGCGATGTGTCTTAGCTTATTTTGACAAAGTTGAACCACCAAACTGGCTGATAAAAGCGAATTATTATTTCACTATTTCTCTTTCATTAAAGATTGAACCAAAAATAATCATATTTTAAATCTTTTTCATATCTCGTACCTAATACCCCTTTAAAAGTACTGAAACAGCGTAGATCATCGTAAATAACATGAATAAAGCGTTTTGGTGCAGAAAATGTATTTTAAAATGCAACTGAGATTTTATTTTATCTAAAACAGCCCTATTGCTTGAAATTAATCTAGGTATCTAGTATTCCCAGGTGTTATTATGTGACTAGATTGAAACGATTTAATAGCACAGAGTTTTGCTATCTATTGAATCCATTTGCATGTTTTCTATAAATAATTGACTTAGTAAAATGTGAGTAGTCATAATAAACTAGTTATTCATTAAACAATTAAAATAACGCTTTTATATGTTTAATGGTTATTATTGTTCAGTTTTTCCTGCAAAATGTTGAATCAATTTACAAACTGATAAAAAAAATCAATCAAACAATAATGTAACTTATCTTGTAATTCTTAGTAAATTTTTTAAACAGACGTCATTAGAAAATTCACGAAACTTTTAACAGAGAGATAAAAGTATATATCATATATGAGGGTCTGGATTGGGTTAGCAGAATAAAGAAAAAGGATCAAAACTACAGAAAATGGGCCAAAATAAAAAAAAATGAAGAAAAAAAGCATCAGAGCGGAATTAGGTAGTTAAATATAAACAATAGAGAACATTACCTAAACGATTATGTCTGTTTGTTTTGTTCACACATTGTTGTCAATATAATGTAATTTTATGCGACTGTCATACAAGTGAGAGGTTTAGTTAACTATAAAAACAGGTTTAGTCCACTATTTTCTACATAAGGAAATGCCTGTTCCAAGTCAGGAATATGACAGTTGTTATCCATTCGTTTGAAGTGTTGAGCTTTTAATTTTGTCATTTGATAAGGGACTTTCCGTTTTGAATTATCCTTGGAGTTCGGTATTTTTGTTATTTTACTTTTTTTTAAATTAAGAAACGAACTCAACTTGTAATTAAAAACTACCGCTATAAAACAAGGTTTATCCCATCATTTTTATCGGGAAATGCCTGCAGTCAGGAATATGATCATTGTTTTCCATTCGTTTCTTTGGTTGATAAAGTCTAACGTTTGATTTTGTCAGTTTTTACGGAGAGCCTGATTTGAATTTACATTAGAGTTTGGTATTTTTGTTAATACTTTTTCCCTGTCTTCATACTAGTTACGTAAACTTCCATTAAACATCATTCTTTAGTTCTTATCACCATTTTTTTCTACAGTAAAAGATGGCTTCTAGGAATGTTATGATGAGCTTTATTCAAACCAGCGGTGTTAATCGAATGTGGATTCTTGAAGAGTTTATAGATATACTATAGAATAAATGTGTTATAGATACAATCATTCACTCGCTCTTTATATTTCAAAAATAGTGTAATTCTTCATTTTTTTTAAATTATTTACTTTTATTGTTAAATTAAAAGAATACCAATTCAAAGATATCAGACTATGATTTTGTATACCAAACGCCCGTTTCGTTTATAAAAGACTCTTCAATGACACTTTACAAAAATGTAAAATGGCAAATTAAGCACGAAGTTGAAGAGCATTGAGGACCCCAAATTGCGAAAGGTAATCTCGATATTTACGTACAGACACGACAGTCGGTATTGCAACAGGTACCTAATGTGCGCTCATAATGACTAATTTCTTTTGTTCTCATTTTGAGCGTGATTCATACAAACTTTCTCAAACACAAAACAAACATCTTGTAAAGTTCTTTGATTTCACTTGTAGATATAATGATGATGTGCTGTCACTCAATAAATCACATTTTAGTGAGTGCTTGCATCTCATATATACCAGTTAATTAAACCCCTTAACATAATTTAAAAACTAATATTTATGCAAAAATATATGATCATAATTAAAAATTCTGGCAAATAATTGATATTTCTATATTTTTTTATTATTATTAAAATAAAATATGGTATGATTTACAATGCGATAATTATCTATTATCTATAATGACCAGATCACAATTAGAATTGAGAATGGAAACGGGAAATGTGCCAAAGAGACAACAACCCGACCAAAGAGCAGAAACAAAGACGACTACGGGTTACAGCATGATCTTAACCAATGAGAAAAACTGAAACTGTATAACTCTATCTAAAAACTCATTGCCTGCATCATAAAATGTTGCACTAAAAGTTAAATTTGAAGCAGGTTATTTCCCTTGTCGGGCTGTAGAACTGCTTTGCGACAATGAATTTCAAAAAAGAGTCAACGATTACAGGTTTTCATTTCCTGCTGAATTAATTTTTTTGTTTTTATAGATATAGAAAGTATTAATTGTCTTTTGCCTTTCACCATTCTTGTGATCATACTCGATTATAAAGCTGGTTTTTTTTGGGTGATTTAAAGTAATACACTGTTTTTATTTACTTCTTACAATTCCTCTGCACTGCAGCGAACCAAAATTTAGACAGTTTACTTCGTACTCGTATTCAAATGTAATTTTAGAATTGGAGTCTGGATTTCATTTTGAAAGTGAGTTTCAAGAAAGTTCTACAGTAAGGTTTAATTTTGCTTTATAGATAATATTCAATACATTCGATTTCAGTCAAAGAAACTATTTTGCTTGTAATATCATTTAACTTACTACGCATCGGTTATACAAATGTATTAAGTTGTTGATGAATAATGTGCTGGTGCTATTTTTGTCAGCAATTAACCAATCATGTTATCGATCAACTAATTTAATCACTTGACAAATTATGCAACGATATTATATAAATTGTTTTCATAAGCTGAACATCAGATAATTTAAAATGATATGAGCAGATTAACTTAACAAGCTCAGACTATTTATGAGTACAAAATACTAAAATAAAGAATGGAGTTAAAAGCAAAGAATATTCTTATTCTTATTTTATTCAAAAACATTGTCATACAATGTGGAAGTTTACTAGAAGAATCTTGTGATGCTGATGATGAGGATTGTCAAGATTCGAATGATTTACCGAAAATTGGTCAGTTAAAACATGGTAAAAGTCAACACGTGAACATTCTCCGAAGAATTCGAGATATAAGTCTAATCGAATGTGCAAAGGAGTGTTTTTTGACGTCACAATGTCAGGCTATTAACTATAGAAAGAATTGGAAGCTTTGTGATGCACTAGGTGAAAGGCCTGATGGCGAGGCTATCCAGGACGAATCAGGATCGGTTTACAGTGAAATATCGACCTGGCCGAAGGTAATGTTATTTTGTCTTACAAAATTTATGAAAAATCATATTTCTACAAATTCAAACATGGATTCATTGAGTGAGCATAATTGCAGGTTTCCCCAAACCACCTGAAGTCACTCTGCGCTTTGCTAGAGTTCTTGTTAATAAGTCTTATGTTAACTTTAAAGTGTCAGTTGGATTGTGTCCCCTTTATACATGATATATTTTTTGTTTATCTTTTTCGGATAATAATTTGGGGTTCGTGTTGCTCAGTCCTTAGTTTTCTTTGATGTTTTGTGTACTGTTGTTTGTTTGTATTTTTCTTTCTTAGTCATGCCGTTATCAGTTTATTTTCGAGTTTGAATGTCCCTTTATTATCCTTCGCCTCTCTTTTGTCCTTACGCATCAGGTCAACTGATAGATGGAACAAATGCTATAAAAAGACACATTTTCATACTTTGAATAGACACAATTTTTGTCTTTATTCTGAAATGCTGCGTACTTTCCGGAAAATTTGCAAGTACTTACTAATTGTTGGTAGTTGGTCAGATTCAGCCTGGAATCATTTTTTAGATCCGGAGCGTACGAGGATAAAAATTATTTACATAATGAACAGAGTATTATTATCCTTGAGAGCACTTCAGGTTATGGCAAAGAAACTTTGTCAGTTATTGGGATAAAAAGTGAAAGTCTAGAGACAACAACTGACCTTCAACAGATAAGATAGATGATAATATAACCGATACAATATTTCTACAATAAATTTCCTTAAAAACGACAAACAGCATGAAATAAAGAAAAGTAAAAAAAAGTAGTACCAAGTCCATGTTAGATTTTATAAAAACTGTTCAAAATTGAAGACTTCCTTAAGCACATGAGCTCATTCCTCATTTTCCGGCTTGGAAGTGCAATTTTCTTATTCTGAAATGCTGCATGAGATCCAAAAAATCTCGTCCAGATATTAAGCAAGTTAGTTAGATATACAATGATATATACGTCAGTAGATGATTTCAGATTTATTACACACTCCACTATCCATTGGAATCTAATTACTATGTATAATTAATATTCGTTCAATGTATTTATCGACGTTTCTCCGTTTAGGTATTTTGATACTATTTTCATCAAGTTTTTATCAATAAACACACATTTATTGAATCTGCAAGTTTTTTATTCTTTACAAAATTGTAAATATGTATGAATAATTGTCCAATTTATATGTTTTTGGGTGAATTGTTTTTTCACTTGTTTTAAGACATTTGTTTTATATCTAAGTATAAATTAATTTGTATCTGAAAGAAAAAATACAATTGTATTTCTGAAATAATGTTTGTTGTCGTTAAGGACTTCTTCAGTATCCATTTTTATAAAAACCACACACCAGTTCTTCACAATACAGGTTTTTTGTTCATCTAAAGATGGGTGCAGTTATTATTTGTACAAAAGATAACTTTCAGCAGACATTATGACTGATACCGAAGTTAACGTTTTATTTAGACAAGCAAGTTGCCCTGATTGATGGGAGACCAGATAAAGGTCAGATGTTACTTGTTTCCTCCAGACCAGATCTGTAGACAGGTCTTTGGTTGACCAGTGTTGAGAGCAAGTCCCCGCCAGACCATACCTGTGGACGAGTCTGCTTTTGATTGTATTATGTCTGCGTATTTTATTTAACAAATTAACTAACAAAACCTTGGGTATTTATGTCCACCTAAAATGTAATTGTATTCTTAGATTATTTCGTTATGGTGTCTTTTGATATTATACAAATACCGATAAGGTAAATATGGGGTTTTATTAAAATAACTAAAGTCTTCTAAACTGCAACAAACGGCAGTTAGTGTTTAATTCCATATATTGAGCAAAATGAAAAAAATCATTTCCATTACCAATTCTACATTTAACATTTTTGTCCATAAGTACGTGCCGTTTAGCGCGGTAAATATAACTTTTCTTCATGTGAATATACTGTTTTATAGAAAATCCAATTTGTATACATAGAAAAAAAACTATAACAATAATACCACTAAAGAAAAACCTGAAACATTCAATAGAACCCATCAACTTCTAAGACAATTACAAATTAGAATTTAATTTACTTTACTTATACTAAAACAATACAACCATTTATTATCAAAAGGGATTTTTTTTGTAATTTATAATGATATATCTTCTTAAACCTAAGGATAGATTGAAATATTTTATCAATTTTAAAAGAATTAGCAATTGAAATCCCTCAATATACTTAAAACAAATCTATTGCAAATGTCAATGCAGACGAATAGTGCATAATTATTGCTATTATGTAAACATGAAGCTCAGTCGATGTCAGTTACTGTTTCCGATGCTATATAAATTGTTTATGGACTTTTTTAGTATTTTTAAAAATACATAAAACCTTTCTCAAACAAAATCTTAGTTTTCTCACATTACCGATGTTTCAGATTTAAATAAATAGTTTGCTAGTCTGCAAGTTTGTTATTGAAAGACACGTCTCATTGGAACTGATTTCGTATTTATACCATTTGCTTTGTTTTATTATATTCTGAAAGGGAACTGAAACATTGAAGTCACGTTTCCTACATAATGACGCGGGAGACATATTTGAAACAATACGTCAATGAATAAATTACAAAACTAAATCTTTCAATGCATCATTTTCCGTAATATGATTTTTTTTAAATAACAACAGAAAATTACTAGTGATGTAAATCCTTTGTCAATTCTAAACCAACTGACTCGTGATATCAATATTTCAAATACATAATTGATGTTCATAATAATGATATGTGAGTGCTTGTATAGTCTGATTATTTGCTGCTGATGTATTTCTTTTTTTTTTTTCTTTTTCACTTAAAATTGCAGAGGGCGGGAGAGAAACAACTAGGATAGGATAATAAATCATTACCAAACTATATCGTTCAAAGTATCATTTTCAGTTTATGAGTATTTTTTAAATATAACCAGAGAAGTACTAATGGAGTTTATTTTTTTTTTCATTTCCAAACCAACTGAATCATGATATCAATATTTCAGTAAACTTAATGATGCTCATAATAATGTAATTTTCGTGTTTGTTTCGTGCGATTTTTAAATGCTAACGTTTTCTGATTTTTTTCTATTTCCTTTTTATTAAAAAAAAGAAGACATTTAAAAAAGTTTACCAACCGAGACAGAGCGGAACTGATCACAAGTTAATGTAAGAATGTAGCGGTCGAAATCAAAAGTTTAAGACAGGTCTGGTTAATCGGCCAGTCGAAATAAACATAGGGTGAAGGACTGGTATCTAGTTCATACCGAGTTTCCTTACTAAGCAGACCTGTCAAATGTTAACTTTTTCGGCAGTCATTAAAGAAGTCATATGACTAATATAAAAGTAAGGAGATGTGGTATGATTGCTCAACTGTATGTTTTTTTTTGGTTCAGAATATGAAGTAAAATGAAATAGTTACGCGTAAAAAACGTTCAGATAGTTGTTCGGTTGTATGAATGAAGTCGCGTGCATTTCACTGATAAAATGATGCTGATAGATCTTGAGCACGTGACGTTGCTGCACTGATACATGACGTCCCTGTCTAATGTTTTCGAGTATCAAGTCATGTCCATGATCCTAAAAATATTAAGCAGTAAGATCAAAGGGAAAATGTTCCAATTGCCGATAAAGTAGTGTAACAGCACAACATCATGAACATAAGAACAAACTATAAAAATGTGTTGTAAAACGCTTGACTCTAATCAGATCGGGACATATAAACTTTTCACAAATTGAAAAAACCCACAATTTACATATTTAAGAGACCGTCTGGTTTTTCTGTTAAATTCACCATAATTTCAGGACTGGTCGGAGCAGTCATAACACTTTGACCAGTGAAAATGTCTGGTCGTCATGTTAAATTGCTGTACATGTATAGGACCAAATCCAAATTTAAAAGCATGTGTAATTTTTGTTACATATACAAAAACTGTTGTAACGTCTACAAAATACAAGTTAAGTTGCTTTACTGTCAATTAAAGTAATTAAAGTTCTTTATAAGGTTGCTAGGAAGGAATAAAGCCAGGTAAAATTAACACATTCTTTTTCAGTCTTCTTTTTTCCTTCTAAGGTAAAAGTGTTTGACTTATTATATCTAAACATAAATCAATTTAAATTCTCGAATGGCATAAATCGTTAACTCTATTATTTTTTGTTTAAGTCATAACGTAAAATAACGTGAAATGATGTCAGACACGACTAAATGACTGAAATGCTCAATAACTTATAATGTCGAAAAATCAAAGGTATAACTTGTAAATACCGGATGGGACATACGACATAATCATATGCATATGTTTGTCACGCCTCGAAATTAAAAATGTGCCTATGAAATAAGTGTAAATCCTCGGTTTTCGTCAGAAATAATGTGACATTAGTACCGCTGTCAAAAAAGCAAAACGCCTTTGAACTTGGAATATATAAGCGAAACACGTACACCACTGATGTTCGTCATCTAATTACAGAGCATCGATTGGGAAACATAACTATAATAAACCTTTACACCATGAATTCTATTTTTTATAATAAACAGATACAATGTTCATGTTCTCCTCTAGTAACAGTAAATAATCTTTTTTTCGCGAATACTTTTCATTGCGTTTAGCCCTTTATAGCAGACTACATAGAGATTTAATTTTTAGAAATTGTCCGATTTTGAGTATTTCTTAAAAGACAAAATTCAAAGTTTACATATTTGACGTTTTATATTCGTGACGAATTTAATTCGCAGCATTTTTCTAAAAACAAAAGCCGAGAAAATATTTTACTCGCAAACTATAGTGGTGTACTGTATCTAACAGCGACATCAAGATTGGCATCTGTCCAACAAATTGTACAATAAAAAAAACCTAATTATTCTATATCGAAGGAGATGCTTAAGCGCAATATTGTCTTATGTGATAATGAACGGTCAATGATATATTTATACTCCTTGTATATCGTACTTATATTTACACCTGTACCTATCTGTTGATAGAACAGGGTTAGTGATAAA